ACAAAAGAACTGTTAGATGCCTGCATTTAATTCAGAACAACTTTGAAATTTCCTTGTACTATGTCACGAACCATGATATTGCTTGGAAATCGTACGCGAGAAACCTATTTTTTACCATGATGTTGAGGCGCACAATATCAATTTTGTTTTGCAGGGAAATGGCTCCAGTACAACCGTAGTACAAGCAGTACAAGGTTAAATTCCGCTGTTCGAAAAACCCTTTGCAACAGACAGTTTATTTTGCTCCAGGGAAGTTCTTCTCTTGAATTAGCCTGTTCCAGGTGTTCAGCGTTTTCCCGGTGTACAATTTAACTCGCTCCCCACTGACCGCCGCGCTCTGCTATCTGAACGCCTGCTACTCTTGAATTAGCCCTTTTTACACCTTCACTGAAAAAGACACTTACTATTTCAAACGACTCCTGATTAAATTGGTGTTTGATTTTGTTTAATTATTTGAGTGGGCGAGAGTTTCCTTCAGTGTGTGCAGGCCCAAGTTACAGATTTACCGTTTTCAGCAAAACTGGTTCCCACATCATACCAAATGCAATAGCGAAATCAAGCATTGATTAAAATCGAGACTTTTTCGAAGAGGTTGTTAAAAAACTGTATTTGTGATTTAACTGAAATCTGATAGATGAAAAAGTTCGCACTTTATGTATACAGCACAAGTTTGTCATTACATTAAAGTCAGTCGTCATTTTTCATTCTTACCAGTGATTTCATGAAAAAAACGTTGGCTGAGGAAATTGCAGTTAAGAAAAAGAGCACAGAAAGGAGCTCTGCAATTTGAAGTCTGCCTGGCAGCCGTTTGCGGAAAGGGCAGAAAAAACAAGGGCGGGATTTAATTCAGGGAGAATAGAACTACGTGAGTCATCGCCCGATTTCTTTGAATCCTTTGGAACGCCTGCCATTCAGGCTATGTAATTTGTAGTCTTTGAAAAATTAAAACCCACGCGTTTGTTTTAATTTTGTGATTAACTGTCAATAGTGAACTGATGGTTGAACCCACTCAAATATACAATTATAAGACTGTGTCAGTTATTTCGACCCCAAACAGTGCGAAAATAACTCATTTGCCTAATACAATTGGTCAAAAACTGAACTAAACAAAACACGAAATTAAATTTGACCTTATCTAAAGGCTACTCCACGGTTAATAAACGTGCCTAACATACTATCATGCACGATCATATCGTTGTCGCGGTCACATTGTTAAAGCCAGTTTTACAAGCTGAAGCGACTTTCCTTGTGCTATCCAGTTAGTCGTATTTCAGGTTTTGACTAATGAAGCTTCACCTACAGACTTTAAAGGTTTCTTGACTTTAATAAAGTGTTCATTAACTGCTTCTTGGAGAAAACAACTTTGTACGTCATATAAGCAGATACATGGTTGACACCTCTAGGATGACATCATCTTTACGAATTCTGAAAAAAGATTGAAACGATACAATACCAGTGAATAGCAAATGAGCTCGACTAAAGACAATTTTATCAGCTATGGCACTGCAAAACTATAAGTCCTGAAACTTTGTGCGGGATCTAAAACTCTCCTTCAACTGAATAATCCGTCCAATGGGGGGACCCCGATGAAGAGAGACCCTTAATTATGATAACTATTCAATCAAAACACCTCTCCCTTTCTCATTGGCTGATCCTAGGTCCCCTAGCCTGTGTACAGCCGGGGAGGGGGCGTCTGTACTCAGGCTAGGATCCCCCTCCTCCCGCTAAAAATTTTTGGATTATCGACGTCGTGTGAAGACAGAGGGGTGGCAGTTCAGGTTAAGAGAAGAGCGGAAGACGTCGCTCGCTATGCGAAAACAAAATGTCCGAATTATTTATTCATGTTTATTGCCTAAAAAATGGATAGAATGTACAAAACACCAGAATTATGTTTTTTTTCGACTTTTGACATGGACAAGTTAGCGAAAATCCGCCACCACCACTGCAAAAAGCGCCTTAAAATTAGTAAAATTGCCCAATTTGAAAGTAATTTGCTAAAACCTTACGAAGATATAGGTCCGCAAAGACGAAAAATTTTACACACGTTTCATGATGGTGGGGAACATACAACTGAATCGCAACGTTGCGAAGCTACTTCTTTTCTCACTCCCAGACTTCGCGCGGACAACGGGCCAAGAGAGAACGCCTAGGGACTAGGCTGACTTAGGACGTAACACTTTCAAATTTGGCAACTTTAGGTATTTTTTAAGGTGCTTTTTCCATTGGTGTCAAAGGTTTTCCCCTAACTGGTCTACAGGAAACCCTGTACTAAGCGATCACTCTTTGGGAATAGCTTACTGAACGCTTCATACAGGCTGATCGTTTAATACAGGTTTGACAAACGTGAGAGTTATTCAAGAAGATAATAGCCTGTGCCAGGCTCTCAGATAGTATAGTGCGGATGTATTAAAACGAGCAAAGCGACTTGGGAAAACCGGGGTGGAACTGGCTAGGAAAATGAGGGTAATCAAAGAGCGAAATATCTATCCCACGACTAATTGACCTCCACCTGTTTCCGTCTATTCTTGGGCCAAAAAAAAAGTTAAAGAACTCTTGACGCCATAAACAGTACGACCTGTTGCACTAGTAGGATAGAGGTGAAGACAATGAAAAATAATTCATTGGGACCTCGGGAAAGGTGACCGCGGCAGTTTAATAAAGGTCGCAGTTTTACAGTAATTAAGAGAAATGATTTCCGGGACTTTGGTAAGTGACCGCTTAATAGAAGGTGACTGCTTAACAGAGGTCCGCTTAATACAGGTTTGACTGTATGTCGAAAGTTAAAAAAACCGTGGAAGGGTCAATTCGAAACGGTAACTAAATTAGAATCCGGGATCTAAGCCGTTCTTCAGCACGCCTGACGCCTGGCGCCTGGCTCAGCCGGGATATAACTGAGTAACGGCTCGCAGTGAACCGTTACTTTAATTCATGCATTTTACCGAAATGCGCATTTTTTCCCCTGTCGAATTTAGTTCGGCTGAAATAAAGATAATCAGACTATTTGAATCAATTCAGACGGCCAAAATTAACTTGAGTCAGCCTCAATTAGAATTCGATACGGCTCATTTGAAGTATAGCGTCTGAACCGGGTGTTAGAACTTCGTTATATTTGGGATAAACTGCAAAACCGCACAATATAAAAATAACTCACGGGGGTGGAATTCTGCACACTGAATTGTGTTAAAGGTTAGATTATCCTAATCTGTTTTTGTGATGAAAATTTTCAGTTTGAACGTGAAGTGGCAGCGAAAATCTTTTCCACGCCCGACATTTAAAAAACACTGTGCAAATTTATTTCTATTTCATTCAATCAGACCCTGAATTTTAATTTGTGGTTTATTACCTTCAAGATCAATTTGTCCATCTCCGTTCAAATCCGCTGCTCTTAAAATTTCTTCAACTTCTTCTTCTGTAAGCTGCTGACCAAGGTTCATCATGGTCCATTTAAACTCCTCTGAGCTGATGAAACCATTTCCGTCCACGTCAAAGACTTTAAACATGTCTCGAATCTCTTCCTCTGTGTCAATTTCCTTCATTCGTTTGTCCATCAGATGGAGAAATTCCATAAAGTCGATGATGCCGTTCCCTTTAAACAAAAGCGGCAATATTCGCTAAATCCATCGATAAATACGCTGAATCTTAAGCCCCGTCCACACGAATCCGGAGATTTTCGAAACCGCACGTTTTGTTACCCGGATTCGTGTGATCGGGCGCTAAAGCATTTTGGAAAGCGGTTTGAAAATCATGCTGTTTTCGTGAGCCGAATCCCGGGGAGGGGTGCTAGGTTTAATTTTTGCTGGGTATGATCCGCTGGCCTCTCAGAGCCCCTACTCCATTACAGTCTATTCTGTGTCCAATTATAGACCCCATCTCAGTCACTTTTAGGCAAATGTAATTTTCACGATCCCAACTTAGTCATTTTCTACTTATGTATCTACCTTATATTGAATATACAAACATTCCGGTACATTTGCTAATCGTAAATGTGAAGAACGTTCTTACCCCAAAGATCCATTAAAAATGTAACCCCATTATAGTCAATCCAGTGGTGAAAATGCGACCCCCATCCAGCGGCACATCCCCATTAACCTCTTTTAAGCAAGTACCCCCCCAACCCCGGCCCGCCCCCTCCCCGGGAGCGGATTCAATGGTTTCGCGTGGATGGAGGGTCGATTCATGTAAAAAACCCTGAGGTTTCAAAACTATACTAACTATTGTAGACGCTGCCGTAAAGGCACCAGAACACGGTGGTATTTACTTCCTCACTTGCTTTCTCTCTCACTCATTTTAAATAAAGTTCAACACTCAATGTACAGCGGTGTAGTAAGAAACTATGCGATTGAAACAAAACAACAAAACCAAAAAACGCGAAACAACAACAACAAAAACCAGTACAGTCAGTACAGTGCTACATACAGCTAGTAAACGAAACTTAAAAAATCATTAATAATTCATAAAGAAAAAGCAAAGAAATTAATGTTCGGTGAGTGTCTTTATATCTGATTAAGACGCGGCTAAACTTTACGTCCAATTTTTTAGACCAAAATAACCCCAAATCTAAATCTATTATTAAGTGCAAGAAGGAGCTGATCCATATCAGTGATTTTGAAGCCGTTCAAAAAAAGTCGCATCGCCTTGTGTTTTTAAACCTGATAATACACTCCTGCTCGTTTTTTAAACAGTACAACAAAAGGGGGTATAAAACCGACAACATGTGTATAATTACCGTCCATGTCAATTTCCCGGATAATCTCTTCCAGTTCCTGCTCGGTCGGGTTTTCACCCAGGGATCTCATTAGCACCCCAAGCTCCTTTGTGTTAATGGTCCCATCGCCGTCTTTATCAAGGAGCGCAAAGGCTTCCTTGAAATCTGTCAAATAAGAACAAGGCTGACACGTCATAACTGAAAAACTTGAAACAACGTGACTTTAAAAAGTTGCTCAAGTTAATTACTGCTACACGGCAAGCGCTTTAATTTTCTTAGCCAACATTTATAGATTTTTAAAAGAGGAAAAAAAAAACACAAACAGCAGATAAACAAGAAAAACGGTTCAACACCCATACTTTGAACCCAAATCACGTGGACCAGTTATCATTCCTAGTTAACGGTAAGGCTTGCGCATCGATAGTCATTTAACAGAAAACACTTGAAGAATCATCACATTTTACATTGAATTTCTGGCGAGCAAAGATGAAATATCAATTATTGGTGTCAATAAGAAACTAATCGAGTGCTTCTTCACGTGATTCTGTTTATTTCGTTAACTTTGCAACTGTTGTCATTGTGTTGTTTACGTGGATGAAATAATAACGCTGTGGCCGCTCAACAGAACGCTATTGGCCTTCTGGGCTTTTAGAAGCATTTTTCTTAGGGTCCTGCAGGGATATTTCAATTGTTCTCTGCAATGTGAAGTAAATACTACAGCGGTAATCATTGACGATAAGTGCTCTTTTCACTCATAGCACCACAGTAGTATATTTTTTTTCAGTATCTCTTAACGAAAAAATTTGAGATATGATAAGTTCACTGGGCACTCTTTTAAACTCTTCAGTTAACTGGCTTCAGTAAGTGACTCTACGAAGCCAAACAAAAAAACTTCAAGCAAATTTCTTTTTGTAAAATGCTGAACGCAAATAGTAATATGTGAAAGTACAACTGCTAAAGAGGTTTCATTGATTGATCACACGCTCCATAGGACTCAAAAGTTGAAACCTATTCATACAGCTTCGCGAGGTGTTGCGATAAACGTATTTCTAGTTATACAACGTAATAGATAGGCCTATGTAATAGTTAGTAATGCCGAATAAGTTCCTTCTAAATGGTGGCTCTGTATCAGTCATGATCAGTTCGTCTACAAGGTCATGATGTAGGATCTCGGCATTGAAAACATACTTCGAATACAGATCTTACTAAATCTTTTACAATGATAACATAACTAGATAGATACAATGGAAGGATCTGAGAATGTGCCACTCGGGTCATTACTGATCTCACCTGCAATCTGTCCTTCAGTTAACGTCAACTCCTGTGAAAGAAAACAGACAGTGGGGCTTTTTACTTTGTTAGAGCAGGTTGAAAAAGTAAGGGAAAAAGTGTTATCACCCGAAATGATTTGTGATTTTACGCGCGATGTCTGTGCCTATATCTTCTAGAATGCCCTCACCGAAAAAAAAAATTAAAGGGTCATTGGGTTAGAGTAATGACGAACGTAGTTCTTAATTAACAACAATCTAATTTGGTAACTGCGCAGTGAACAGTATTAGCCTTAACCTCATCTTAGCAAGTAAAAAGCCTACATAACCTCATTACCTATCCCTAACAAGACAAAAATGAAGTCTTCGTGAAAAGAGTTCGTTAAGGTAGAGCCGGGATATGCGGTCGTTTTGCACACATTATCGATCACATGTACCTGTTCATTAGGTAGTCGTCGGAGCTCTATCTAAGGACAGAATCAGGGCAGTAAAATGAAAGAGAACCATACAGTAGTTCTTGATCAAGGTTAGCGAAAGCGAAACTGACAGCGGATCCGTGCAAACTAACAAAGTCTTACATGATTTGAGATAATTTTCCTGTAGACCGAAGTCGGACACTGATTCGTACTCGGGGAGAATTTACCGACGCATGAGTTAAATTGAGAATGTTTACTACAAGTTAAGATCTCAATGATAACAGTACGTTGAGTTATTCAGTTCAAGACTAGACCAAATTTTTTATACTATTGGTCAGACTTACCATGACACAAGCTGCTTGTGTTAGAACACAGTGTACCAGATGCTTTTTATAGTCTGTTGCTCCCTTAGATATCTTGCAACGAGTCTATCAATTGGCGCAACACAGCTGACAACACAAATGTCTGACTCCACTTGTATGCAGTCTTAGTCTTTTATCGCACGATCATGCTACTCGTGCATGCTTTGCGGACAGGGACAAGCATGAATGATCTGGTGAATCCAAGATACTTAAATCAACAATGATGTCACGCTATAATGTACGGTCTTCAGTAACTTGTTTATCTATTTTGTCGGTTAGAAGACTAAGTAAATTATTCAGTAGCCCTATAGGGATGCTTTGTTAAATTGATTTGAGATCATAGCGAGAGTCCACATCACAATGGAAACAAAGAATTTATCAACAGAAAAGATCACAGCGAGTGAGCAGGAGCTGAGGGTATTGCCACATTTCCGGGACCTTTACATGACAGTGGAGACTGTGGAGACAAGTTTCCGCTTTCTGTTTTTCTCTTATGGTTGGTTTGTCGGTTAAAAACAGTATAAATTGTCCGCAACCGTGTTAATATCTAACCTAAGTAGCATTCTGGTGAGAAAAGCTCAAATTGGCTTATTTTTGTTGGCCTTTTTGCAACGACCTGCGCGCGCGAAAATTCTCGTAACACGTTCCCAGTGCAAGATAGCAGAGTCGAGGCTCCAGAAACGTCTTGGTGACGTCAATCGTGAGTTTATTTTGGACACGTTGTGGTATTTACAATCTGATTTCAAAACCGAAAGATCTTGTTTACTTGAGAAATCGAAAAAGAAATTATAAGCTCCCTAAAGCCGTATATTCTTTGTAATATATAGTCATTGCGCAGAGCTGATCCACAAATCTATAATTCACTTAAAGGAAGGCTTAGGTGATTTCGGAAAAAAAAAAACAGAAAGCAAAACTCTTCTATCGAGCTAGCAGACTTATATTTACACAGCTAAAAAGGAACCACGACTGCATCACCTAAACCCAATCCACACCACTTTGAGAAGTCTGTGGTCAGCCCCTAAATTTAATGTTTTAAAAGCTGGTTCAGTTTAATTCACGAACTTAAGCAGCGGACAATTTACAGGTTATTATTCTACGTCCATATTTTTGGTTAAAGACCTAAATGACCTAAGTGGACGTTTTTTTGGAAAGCCAAACAAAAAAAGTCAAGATTTTTTCTGGAGCACCAGCATTGGTTGCCTCTAAACTGGCGGAACGTTCGTCACGACACGTGCAAATGTGCGCAATCTGCATCTTCTGGAATCCCTTATCCTCGCGTACAGAGTCTCCCCTCCCCTCCCCTCCCCTCCCCTCCCCCCCTCCCCTCCCTCCCCCGGTCAATATTCAAGTCCAGACGTCATTATGGCCCCTTCACAGTATCTAGTTTGTCCGTAATCGATTTGTGACAATGCATCAGTAGGCAGTTGTTCAGGCAGTCCTGCTTAATGGTGCTTCTTAGGTAGGACTTGAGTCGTTTGAGGACAGAAAATGTGCTCTCCGGAGTCGGTCTTTATAGTATTGTCAAATACATTCGGTAAAAGTGTTTCCGGCACCAAAAGGTGAGGTGGGGGGGCTACGGACCCCCCTGCCCCCCTGTTCCGCCGCCTATGGTTGAAACAGACAATGATAAGAATCAGAAACTAAAAATCCTTCTGACACGTTTTCTATTTTTACATTCTCTCCTTTTCGCGTTTTGCTGGCTCCTGTCGCTGTAAATGGCTCTAAGTGAGTTAAGAAATCGTCCAATGCTCGTGGAGAGCTTTGGTAATCAACCACAGCGCGTATAGATGTATAATGCGACTCAGGACTTAATTTTAACGGTCAAAAAGAAAATGATTTCTATTGTACCACAGTTTAAATCAAACTTTATTTGGCCTGATACTCGTGGTATTAAAGTTCATTATCTTCTTCAGTTCATGGTCATGGCTCTGATGTTCGGGATAGCATTTTCACGAATTCTACAAAAAAAAAAAACAATCAGTCGATTAATTTTTATTCATTCAAAATACTTTTCCATCTCTGATTGGCCAGCTTGGTTCAGTTGGCAGAGTGTAGGCCTGGTAAGCGGGAAGCCATGAGTTCCCCGGCAGGCCGGGCCAGGACCAGCAACCAGGCTTTTTTAAAAAACTTTTAAAATCCTTGGCTGTAATTATTAAATCCTTTCCTAGTGTAGATGATGATAGGGAGCTTAAGCAACAACGACGGCAACAGCTATGAAAACGTCACATGAAAATGTAATTTGCGTTGCCTCAAACTTGTCACGCTTGTTCCATCTCGTTTAATCCGTCAAATGTTGGCGAATGTTTTTGGAGTTGAATATTCTAAAGGACTGTATCAAAGTTAAGGAAAAGAATTCGAAAGGAAAATGTGTTGTCTTGTTTTCCCGTCCTCGCCGACAAATCATGAAATTAGGCATTTTCACGTCGTAGTCGTGCAGTGACGGCAACGAAATGCACAAAAAAGCGTGATGCACGTGCAAAGTTGTTGTTTTGCCAATCATGACGTCGTCGTCGTTGTTACACGGGACGATTCGCAACGACGATTTTTAGCGCAACACAGCATTACAACATTGTTGCGACATTGTTTCGAATGGTTGCAACATTGATCCAACATTGCTACGCTGTGTTGCGCTCAAAATCGTCGTTGCGAATCGCCTCGGGTAATTAGCGCCATTGGAAGAAAGGTGACGGTAAAAACCCTTGGCTGTCGTGCATAAGATCTCATTTATCTAAATTCTTCTGCTATTCATGCCCAGCGGAAAACTGGCACCATTTTTTGGAAGAAAAATACTAAGTTATAGGCTTGATGCTTTTTCCATAGTCAGATAGTTATACACGTTAACATTATTTTCTCAAATTGGGCAAAATGTAGCATCAAGAAAGGGGTGGGTGGGTAGTCCCCCAAGAATCTTGTACTGCCACAAACATACAAACCTTCGAAATTGATTTTTCCGTTCTTTTTAGTGTCTGCTTGACTAACAAGCTGGTCGATTTCTTTTCTCGTTAGCCTTTCTGGGATTCTGTTCAAAAGACACCGCAGTTCGTCGGCCTCCATAATGCCTTCCCCGGATTCATCCCAAATATTGAACAGCTCAAGGACTTCCTGTTGGGTTTCCTGTGCTATCTTCCTCTGCATCAATATGCAAAATTCGTTAAAATCAACAGCGCCACTGCCTTTAAAGACATGAAAAAAATTATAGTTAGTAATGTTTATACCACCGGTAATCTAATTCACCTATTTCACTTGGCAGAGCATCTGTTTAGTTCTTTGGCAAGAGCCATCTTGTTCTTTGGGCAGCGGCAACATTTCACCTTTTTTAGAATTTTTACTCCATCTTTGTCAACTGTTTTTTCTCAGGGCTTTTCTTTGCAAAGTAAACGATATCCGAGTCAAAAGGTAAATTGACAAACATTTGATGTGATTATCTTATGATCAAATGGGAGGGAAATTTAAAATATTAACCGCCTTCCTACAATCTGAACCAGGGGCACCCAACGACGCATTATCGTTTAAAACCACTTAAACACAATAGCATTGTATTTTAGTATTTAAACGGTACATATAGGCATATTTTTATGCCCTGAAAATTTTCATCTGTTCGGATTTCCTAGCTGAAAGTCTAGTGATCCAAAAATTATAGGGATCAAAACGTACCTCTTCGAAAATTTCAACCAAAGAAAAGGCTACCGAAAAATTCTAGGTGACCTTTTAAGGGTAAAAATCCGTTAAAAATGGGCAGTAATACCACTTTTTTAGATGTTCGAAAATCCTAGGAGGGGCAGGCAAGCAAGAAATTTTACAAAAAATGTTCCGAAAATTCTAGATCCCAAATCGTCTTCCGAACCGATATTTTCCGAAAATCATGTTGGGTGCCCCTAATATTTGATTTAGTAGTGTCTTACCATCCTCGTCCACTTCCTGGATCATTTCATGTAAGTCCTGTTGATTCGTTTTTATTCCCAAATTTTCCATCACAACCCCTAGCTCATCTGTGGTGATTGTACCATCACCATCCCGATCAAACAGAGAGAATGCCTCGCGTAATTCTATAACAAGGTAACAACAAAAGTTTAACATTGTGTAAGTAATATTTCAAATATCGTCCGAAGCATGTCCATAAGGGTGCCATCGTCGTTGAGATCTAACAAAAAAATACCTCGTGTAACAGTCACGAAGCAGTGTTCCGGTTGTCTTTCGCCCCAAAGGGAGTCCAAGATAGTCTTTATCCTGGATTGCACGCCATGGATTCCGGATCCTAGGTACTGGATTCCACTCTTTGTCAGTGAAACTTGGATTCTGGGTTCTGGAATCGTAACCGGAATTCTGGATTCCTTGTGCTGTATTCCGAATTCCACAAGCAAAATTTTCCCAGATTACAGATTCCAGATTCCAAAAGGCTTTCCGAATT